TACGGCCTTTCTTGCCACAGTTGTTAAGTAAATCACTACAGGTGTTAAGTCAGTAACACGGTTGTTAGGTGAATCTGGCTTCCCTATTGACTTTGCTTGTCGGAAGGACGCAAAAGGGTGACTCTGTGACTCTGCAACCGTCATAAATATGAACCAGTTGCCAAGGGTCTGGATTTTGATCACGTGACCACAGGGATGCTGGAACAGTCGTTAAGTGTGAAAACCGGTCATAAGTCACTTTTTTCAGTGCTGTTGTAACTTCAAACGGTCGCTAAATGAATGTTTGTAAATCGGGGACTGCTCGTACGGATAAGATCGACATCTGCAAGAGAGAATCTGGATTTGATTGGCAGAAGTCCTTTCCATCTCCCTCTCCCATCCCTAAAATAACACAGCCCTTGCCGTTAAACATCTGTCTGCAACGTATAAAGAATACTTAAATTGCTTAGAGAGATATTATAATCAGATCCATGCTGACAGAGCCTTTCCAATCTGGATGGCCTATTTTTCCGTATGAGTCATCGGAAATTCAAATAGCCGTGCTTAATTCATTTTCATGACGGGAACCGGGTTATAGCTCCCTAAACGGATGGAGGTACGGGATATCTTCTGAAACTGCACCCGTTTAAATTTGCATCCAATCATTTTGCAGGAGGACTGGAATAAAATAGGCCTTGGGCAAGCTGCATGGCCCTGAGACTTTCGGTCCGGGCATGCCGTAGCGTGCTTTCAAACATTTGCCGTTTTAAATTGTTATTAAATCTGCTTTCATCTTACCAAATTATTAATTAATGTTTAGGATAAGAAGGTCCCACTATTGCAAAAGGGGAATGCTGAACATTTTAAGCACAATAACAGAGTTGGAGGTCTTCTAGTCCAACCCCCGCCCCTTTTTGCTCAAGCAGGGAACCCTATACCATTTCGGACAAATGGTTGTTCAATCTCTTCTTAAAAATCTCCAGTGATAGAGCACCCACAACTTCTGGAGGCAAGTCGTTCCACTGGTTTATTGTTCTAACTGTCAGGAAGTTTCTCCTTAGTTCCAGGTTGTTTCTCCCCTTGATTAGTTTTCATCCATTGCTTCTTGTCCTGCCTTCAGGTGCTTTGGAGAATAGCTGGATCCCCCTCTTCTTTGTGATAGATTCTCAAATATTGGAACACTGCTGTCATGTTCCTTCTTTTCATTAAACTAGACATAGCCAATTCCTGCAAGGGTTCCTCATATGTTTTAGCCTCCAGTCTCCTCATCAATTTTGTTGCTCTTCTCTGCACTCTTTCTAGAGTCCCAACATCTTTTTTAGATTGTGGCGACCACAACTGGATGCAATTTTCCAAGCACACATACAACCCAGCAGAGATAGATGTCTGCAGGAGAGGCGGGCATATAATAGAGCAGGCGTGCTAAACATTTTTGGATTTATTTTTAAACTACTGAAGACGTTGAACATGCTAAGGTTCCTGCACTGATGTTTAAACAGACGGATGGGCTTTCATTACGTCTGCTTTTGCGCGATCATAAAAATGGGGGGGGAGTACTGAATTGAAAACTTTCGCTAGGTGACCGTAATTATTTCAAAGGAGACTAGGATGAAAACTATTCTGCTGGTCTGGAGCTGAGTTAACAGGTGAGTCTTTGGCCTCCTATCATCTGAAAAGGGGCACTATTTACCTTAGGTGAGGTTTATAAAATCACTGAGCAAGTTAACCAAGAGTTCAAAGTCTGCGTAAGAACTGAGCGTGCCTATGTATAGCAAAGAGATGTTTCACAATGGAGAGAAAAAAAACAGATCAAATGTAAACTTGATGGGTGAAGCAAGAGGGAATTTTCCCAATCAGAGGTAAGGAGCCTGCAGCTTAGATGATGTCCACTTCAATCCTCTCATCTGCTAATTCTCCATGCTGGCTTGGACTAAGTCCGGCGTTTGGAGATCCACCAATTCCTTGCCCTTCTTCCCTGCAATTCTACGTTATTCCTGCAATAGCAACAGAGCAGGGGTCTCCAAACCTGCCAACTTTAAGACTTTGCGGACTTCAACTCCCAGAATTCCCCAGCCAACAGGGCTGTCAGGGGAATTCTGGGAGCTGAAAATCCACAAGTCTTAAAGTTGTCAAGGTTGCAGATCCCTGGGCTAGATATTCTGGCCATGGTTCTTCATATGCTTTAGCCTCCAGTCCCCTAAATCATCTTTGTTGCTCTTCTCTGCACTCTTTCTAGGGCCTTAGCATCTTGTGAGCAGAATTGGACACAATATTCCAAATGTGGCCTCATCCAGTGCAGGTTCAAGCGGTGCTATCTCTTCACGTGATTTGGAAACTATCCCTCTGTTAATGTAACCCTAGGACAGGGGTGTCAAACTCAATTTCACTGAGGGCCGCATCAGCATTGCGGTTGCCCTTGGGGGGCCGGGTGGGTGTGGCCAGGGTGGGTGCGGCCTACTGGGTGGGTGTGGAGTGGGTATGGCCTACTGGGTGGGCATGGCCAGCTCTACATCGTTCGCGTCAAGGGTGCCCGTGGGGGCCTGGGCAGGAGTGGGACAGATCTGAGGGTCTCTGGCAGAAGGGGGTGGGACCAGGGCAAGCGCCAAGGCATGGTCCATTTCTTCATTCCTCACAAAGGGTGACACCTTCCCAGCATGCACCCAGGGGGCTGGGCCGACATGGCAGGGGCTGGTTCCTCGCTGTTTCCAGACGGCCTTGTGGAGCTAAGACTGAATGCGTTTCAGCATAGATGGCCACCAGAAAATTGTACATTGGCTCCCAGCCGGCCTGGGCCAGGGCCAAGGCAGCGGGAGCCGTTCCCTCACTGTTTCCAGGATGGCTTCGCGGGCCACATGAAACCACTTCGCGGGCCGCATCCGGCCCCCGGGCCTTGTGTTTGACATACCTGCCCTAGGACTACAGAGTTGGGTTGCTCCTGTTATGACTTGTGGACTTCAACTCCCAGAATTCCTCAGCCACCATGCCTGGGTGAGGAATTCTGGGAGTTGAAGTCCACAAGTCATAAAAGGGCCACGTTTGAAGACCCCTGGCGTAGAGAGTGAGTTGCACAACAGCAAAGAAAACAGCTGTGCCATTACCACATTAGCACTACAACGGTTGTGTCTGGCTCCTCAAAGGCAGTTTCGGGTGGCAACTTGTGATACTGCAAACCCACCGGGATAGAACGACAATCCAGAGTATGCGCTCTTCACTCGCGCATGGCATTCTGCTAAACTGGATCACGGCACCTGCTTGAATTTGGGCCACTGATCAGCACCCGCCTTCCAGAGCTGATGCATTTAGAGCCAAATTGGAAATTCCTAAAATAATAAAAGTGCACAATAGCATGGGATGAATTATCTCAGGGCTTGTGGCCCTTTCCAAGTCACGGAGACGCTAACAGTCTCGGTCGTTGTTGTTGTTTTTTTTCTCTCTAAAGCAAAGGACAGATTACAAAACTATGTCAACTTTTATTATTAACAAGAACAGGAGGCTTAAAAAGATTCCATTTGGTGAGAGGCAATCTGGATGCCTCTTTGGGGGAATTAAAAAAAAAACCACGTGCCTATATATTCATTTGGAGAGTTTCTTCTCTTTTTCCTTGGCTTGCTCTATTTTCTTTTCCTGGCATCTGATCATGCTGGACATTGCTGGAAATAGCATAGAGGAAAGAGCTGTTAACACCACATAAGTCTGGAAAACAAAGGTCGTCTCGCTTTATGTTCTGTAAAAAATGGTTCTGGTGGTGGCTACAAACCAGGTGAGGGTGAGTTCTAGTCCCGCCTTAGCCATGAAAGCCAGCTGGGTGACTTTGGGCCAATCACCAGGAGACGGTGAGTTCTAGTCCCGCCGTAGGCATGAAAGCCGGCTGCGTGACTTTGGGCCAATCACCAGGAGACGGTGAGTTCTAGTCCTGCCTTAGGCCTGAAAGCCGGCTGGGTGACTTTGGGCCAATCACCAGGAGAGGATGAGTTCTAGTCCCGCCTTAGGCATGAAAGCCGGCTGGGTGACTTTGGGCCAATCACCAGGAGACGGTGAGTTCTAG